ACTGTGGAGTTTAATCATAATCAGAAAAGTGAAACAGGAAGTGGATATAAGTGGCTTTTCTAAGCTGTAAGTTTGGAAATCAGACAAGGCACTTTAAGCATCATATGAGAGTAAAATTTAGGCCGATGAAGAGTTTGAGTTTAAAATTGTCATTGTGAAGCAAATTTCCAAGGTCTGCATAATTTCTACATTGCACTTTGAAAGCAGGTACATTCACAGATCAGTCCGGGGGACATTCCTCTTCTCATGACATTTTACACCAAGTAGAGTTGGCCCAACGTGACCAGTGTGCTTACTATAAAAAAAGGGGAAACAAAGAGAAGTATTATAACAATTTATCAGTAATGTGTAATACACCCTTTAGACCTGCAAAATAAGGGAAGGGGAAACATATCTGCAGAATGCCTGTGAAGAAAATCTTCCAACAGGACAGGTAGAAACCTAGGACAAGACAGAGGATGACAAAAAAACAAACCAAAAAAAAAAAAACCAACAGAGCTGAAAATGTTAAAATAAATAAGCAGCCACAACGTTAAAACCACTGACAATGAAACCTGACATGGATCTGGTTATGATGCAATGTTCTGCAGGGAAATGACAACGGTACCTTTTCAGTAATTATTGATGTAAAAGTTTCTACTGTGAAACTCTGAACCCTTTTATTATTCTAGTAAACTTTTCAGAACTGGCTTGTTGAGTTTCTACCACAGTCTGAGCTACAGGGTAGCTTGTGCAAATTAAGGCACTGATGTGTATTGATTCTCCTCAGCTGCTGAAGAGTTGACACATTGACATGTAAGTAAACACTGGACACCATGCGAGAACCCCAAGTTGAAGTCACAGTGAGTACAACACCTTCACAGGATGGTCTCAGTACAAGTTTTAAAGGATTAAAAGGACCCCACATTGCTAATGCACAAACTCTGGCACCAAATAGCCAACATGGCAGCTTCCATAAAATGGTCCAGCTGGCCTTTATTCCAAACAACGAGAGAAGACAGGGACATGTAGTCTTTTGTTCCTTACATGTCAAGTCAAGTCACATTTATTTATATAGCACATTTATGTTGATGGTCAGACAGCAGCTACACAGAGGTAGCCACCTCGGTTCTCTCATATTTCTAATTTTCTAATGGATTGTTGTCACCAGAAACATTGGGCACTCAGGCACCTTCTACACATGTCCACGGTCTTACCTATACAAGATTTTTCCTTGTAAATACTGCAACGTTTCTAAAAATGTTTTCATCCGCAGAAACAGAAATGACCCAAATGCAGTTGGCTCATCCACTCCCAAAAAAAGATGGACAGCAGATCCAAGAGCAAAATCTGAATTCTTTTGTAAACAGATGAGAAAGTTGAATTTCTTTGTGTCAGGCTAAACTACTGATTGGGAGTTGTGTCAGTCCAAATCCAGACCTAACCGATGCAGTTACCAGAGATGGCTACAGAAGAGATTTTCCTCATGCTGTCCAAGGGTTCAAGATAAATTATTTACACACAAATGCTGGTCTTTTGCTCATTTCTCGTGTTTGATCATTGTTTTTCTTGCTTTAGTAGAGTTGACACAGTACAATAAAATGTTAAAAACTATTTAGCCTTAGATCATTTAGTGTAACAAGGGTATATGCACTGTTCTATTCCAGACTTATTGTTCATCAGCCTTGATTGTTCATTGTGGTAGTACAGTATACAAAGGTTTTGTTGTAGTTGAGAAACTAGGGTCTGCAACACAAAACAAGGACGTATTCATCAATACTGTTACATTTGTATGCTTGGGGTTTAAAGTTGGGCAGGAAGTGGGAGTGTGACTTCCCCTCCCAAAAAAATGTGTTTAGGCTTTCCACACAAGAAAGCAACGGTCGTGCTTTAAGATATTTTTACTCTGGAACCAAGTGTTGAAAAATACTGTTTAGGGGCTCTTAAAAAGCAATTTCCAAATGAAATGGAAAAAGCAAACAAAAAAAGTGTGAATCCATCGAACGTCACTCCTGTGAGGACGTGGTCTCAACCAATTAGATACGTTTAGTGCTCTCCCACCGCCCCGACTGTTCCAGGTAATTTCAAAGGCATGATCACCCTACCAGGAATGTTTTCATGGATAAATTTCTTCTCTCGTCATTTGTATTTACAATAGGAAATGCAATGGAAACTAAGGAAATATGCCCCTAGAAAACTACCATGGGCCTTGAAATAGAATCGCACCAAAAACCAGTCCAACTCTTCCATATTCTGTGATGGCACAGAATATGGATGACTGCTCTAACCTGAGTGGTTAGAGCAGTCGCCCTCCAATAGGAGAGTTGGGGGTTTGATTCCACCAGCAGTCACATGTTGAAGTGCCCCTGGGCAAGACATTGAACCTGTCATTGTGTCCCATCGGTGTACGAATGTGACCTAAAGCACCAGTTTGTCCCTACAGAAGGATTTGTTCAATTATCTTTGTAGAGATCTAGTAGAGTGCTGTATGAATGTGTGTAGTAGAGTGCTGTATGAATGT